GGGGCACAGGAAGGCTAGGCCTGGCCTGGCCCGAGCATTCCTGACACTACCCCGCTCTGCCCATTCCACCAGCGTACCTGCAGCTGTCCAAGGCCCTGGCACACGGGGCCAGCCTGGCAGAAACTACAGCAGAATCTGGGGCAGTCCCCAGTTGGCAGCAAGGCCCCCAGAAGGGGACAGGGTAGACAGCCAAGGAAAGGCAGCCTCTCCTGGGTCTAGAGTGGCCCTCTGGCCACACTGCTGAGGTCCTAAAGATCAGTTCCTTTCCTGCCAGCAGGGCAAGGGGCACCTCTCTAGCACCCTGCACATGTGCCTGGGCCGGCCCACAGGTCAGCATCAGTCCCAGTGCCTTCCACAGGCACTGGCCAAGCCCAGGCCCCAGGCCCCTCCTGAAAGAAGACACCTCTGAGGAGAGCTGCCCTCTGAGTGGCAGGGCCAGGCAGGTGGTCTGCACATGCACGCCCCCCTCCCCCAGCAGTCACAATGTCCAGGGCTGTCTGACCTGAGGAGGGCAGCTGAGAGCTTAGCCACACTCTTAACCCACACCCAGAGAGGGGCCATGGAGCACTGCCGGGCAGAGAGGATGGAAGGACCAGCTCCCCACATGGCACAGCAGGCTGGCAGGGGCAAGGACAGGATGAGGGCAGGCGGTGGGGGCCTTGGTGGAAGGGCCCTGAGATCTACTCCCTGTTCTGAGAGGCCGGACTGCAGGAACCAAGAGCAGAGCGACTCACCCAGCTCCCAGCTCAAGGGCAAGACCCACAGACATCGAGGAACATGGGACGGCCCATGCCCACCCTTGGAGCCTGTGCACAGAGGAAGCCAGAGTGTGCCCCAGGCACTCTACCCTCTTAGGAGTGATAGCAGCATAATCCCAGCTGCCCGGAAACTGTGGCCAACCCAGCCCAGCACCTCAGCACCACGGCTCTGCAGGACAGTGCCTTAGAGAGCATCAAGGAAAGGGGGCCTCCGACACAGGTCCCAACCAGTGGGTGCACAGCAGCTGGGCATGGGCTCAGAGTCTGACCTGGCCCCCAGAGCATAGGCTGCCTCTCAAGGCCCACAGCAAGAGATCACTTCAAGTCTGCGGAAGCAATCCAGCCCCTAGATCCCCGGCCACGGGGCCAACTGGAGGGCACGTTTATAACTTCCTGCTCTCTCTCCCAAATGACTGTGACAGCAAGCACAGAACCAGGACAATGCTGAGAGCAGAAAACATCTTGGAAGAGACTTCCCGGAAAAAGTCAGACCACCAGGGACTCTGCCCAGGACATCCCACCCCATCCACCGCAGAAATGAAGTTCCCAGTGCCACTGAGCTGGGTTCTGTTGTAAGCAGACGCTAAGAGAGCTTGGAGAAAAACTATCATTTGTCATCACAGCTAGGCACATGCCATCACCCTCTGGCAATGAAAACCGCAGGCTTTGCAGGCCCAAAGGCCCCCCTGCCCCCCAGCACCAGGTAGCAGGGGTGATGCCCCCTCCCCACTTGGGGAGGCAGTGCAGGCCCCTCATTCTGGGACCCAAACTCCAGCCCTGCCACTGGTCAACAGCCCAGGTTGAAAAGGATTATTTCCATTAGAAAAGCAGGAAAGTCAAGTCATTCCTTAACATCTCCAGGCTTCAGGCTCTGAACCAGGCCTGTCTCTTGGGGCTGGCCTGAGGATTTGGTGAGTCACTTCATGTGCAGGACTTATGGGGTCCCTGTGCAGGACTTAAGGGGTCCCTGTGCAGGGGAAGCACACCCAGTACCAGCCTCAGAAAGCACTGCTGCCTCCCACCCATTCGGCGCATGGCCAGGCTGGGGGCTGGGCAACGCAGATGTAGCAGAACAAGACGACAGGCGTGCCTGCAGCAGCAGCGAGCATCAAGAAGGAAAGAGAGGCGATGAGGCATACTGGGCACCGCGTCACGGAGAGGCCTCTGTGCGGGGACATGCAGGCTGGGACCTACAGAAGCAAGCACCGGTGCCCATGGGGAGGGGAGAGGGTCCTGCCAGACGGAAGCCAAAGATGATGTTCCAGGGGGGAGTGACCCAGAGCAAGGGGAAGACGGAGCAGCGAGTCAGAGGCACAATGCATCAGAAGCCCACGCCGTTTCTGCAGCCAGCAGGTAGAAGGCACGCCTGAGTGAGAAGAGACATCTCTGGATCTTCCTGCGCCCTTCCCTCACCAGATCCCGGTCAGACAAGCTCAACGTCACTGCATCCCAACTCCCAGAGCTGAAGCCACTGCTTAGGACAGCGAGCAGTATGGCTCACCGTGCAGAGACCACAAGACTGAGAACAGGTGCTCACTGTGCCCAACTAGGACAGCAGGGAGACAGGCAAAACCCTTCTAGGAACCTGTCCATTCAAAAGCTTAGAAGAGGAACGTGTCAGGCCACAGGCTGGGCCTCACTCCCAGTCCAATGCGGTAAGCCTGGGCCTTCAGTTTACATACACCTATTAGCATACGTGTCTGTGCTAACCTGAGCGGACTCGGGTGGGCAATGAACACCCCAACCAAAAATCCCAGCTTCCTGGGTTCAGACTTACCACTCGCCGCCAGCTCTACTATGATGCCATCTGTGTCTGACACTGTGCCACAGCTGAGCTGAACCCCAATTCACCTCTTACTCCCCACAAGCATAGGACTGCCAACTCCTGGGCTTAATGGTCACGCTGTTCTGTGGATGGCCGGGGACACGAGGCATCCCCTCGCCAGCCTCCTCCTACACCTTCCCAGGACTCAGTCCTTGTCTCCAAGCTTCCTGCTCCCTCACCTTCCAACTGTGACTGCTGCCTGGGGCAGTCACCAAATCCTCACCTCGTTTCTAACCTCTCTCTCACGAAGGTCATTTGCTCCTGTGGCTTCAACAGGAAGTAGGACACGGTAAAAAAAAAAAAAAAAGGCAGTGAAGTTAGCTGGAAATTACACACTGGGCCCCCCTCACAAGCTGGGGCCTCCCTCTCACCGGGTGTCAGCCCCTGGCTCAGGGCCTGGCCAGGGCAGTCTATTTCCTGGCACTCAAATTTCTCCCCTATCAGCCCAGCCTCCAGCCACCTGCAAAACTTGCCTTCTCAAACAGACTCCACATGACTCTGGGTGTGGGTTAGGGGAAGGGCAGCAGATAAAGAGATGAAGTGCCACTGCAAAGGGTCCAGGAAGATGTCACCAGGGAGGTGTGGCGTGAGTAGGGTTCTTCATCTAGGCTAATCAAGTCACTCCATGTGGCTAAAAGGGAGGTGAGCACCAAGCAGGGCAGCGAGTGGTTCCTTCCTCCAGGTGCCCAGGCCACCCTGAGCACGGATCCCTCGGGCACCCAACATCAGGCACCTTGGGTGGGAACTGGTCTCTGGTGCCCACCAGACCCGCGAACAGGGCAGGCACTGCCTCTGGTTCCCCACGGTGCCCCCAAATCCTCGCACAGTGCTTGGGACAAAGTAATTACTCAAGAAACGTGTGATGAGAGAGCACGTCCTGCCCTTCCTGAGTGGGGATGCCTGGATGGAGTCTGCTAGCTGGTAACCACTTCCCCGAAGAGCATCAGTGAAGAGCAGGTTCACAGCTGTGGATGCAAGGAGCCACGGCCACACTCCCTACCGAGCCGGATCCCTGCACTCACGCCGGGCAGCCCCCTTCACACAGGCGGAAGGAGACGCGCCATCACTCCCAGGAGCCCTAGGCGCACCCCGTCCGCAGAGGGGGGCAACGGCCGCCTGGCTCCGCCCCGAGGCTGCGGCTCGCCGGGGCCTGGCGGGCCGCCCCGCAAGGGGGTCGGACTCGGCGCGCTGCACAGCCCTCACCGGGCTCCCCGGGCCCGGGCCCTGCACGGCCCTCACGCTCTCGCCGCCGGAAGCTGCAGCCCGCGGGCCGGAAGCTGTGGCCGCAGCCCGACCCCCGCCTCGCGCCCGACCCCCGCCTCGCGCCCGCCTTGTCTCACGCGACCAAGGGCTTGGTGGGGGTCGACGAGGGACCGCCGCGTCCCCGGAGGGGCCCTCGACGCCCCGAGCGGGCAGAAGACCCGCTCCCGCCAGCTGAGCGGAGGCCCGTGGTCGCAGGGAGCTCACTTACGAGAGCTATAGTCGCCGTCGCCATCTTGCGTCCGTCGCGGCCGCCGCGCGCGCCACACGCTCGTGCTCCTTCCGCGGTCTCGCGCGATGTGGGTGCTTGCGGCGGCGCCCGGAGAAAGACGGAACTATCGCGATAAAAGGCCCTTTCTCCCGCGACGTGGATGGAGAGAGAGACAGCGAGCGAGCGAGCGCTTCCGGGGCGGGGCGGAAGGGGCGGAATCGGGGGGCGTGTCCGTCGCGAGCGCGCGTCGCGGGGCGAGGACCCTTTAACCTCCGTCCAGCCAGCCACTCCCTTCACTCCGCCCCCACCCCCGTGCGGCCGCTGCCCCGCTTCTCTGCCTCCTGTACAGAAAACCTTAGGTGCTGTCCCCCTGTTCGCACCCCAGAGTTAGGACAGAGGACGGCGGATTCCCTTCCAGGGCTGAAAGCCCCGCCCGCCCAAACGATCAAGTTGAGAGAGGTGACAAAGAATCCCCACATATCCGCGTCAGATCCCCTGGTGCCTCTTCCTTGCGTTCCAACACCTCAGAAGTCAGGATGCGCCTACCAATGGATGGTGTGTCCTCGTTTAATTGGCAACATTTTCCCTTTCCTAGTGATTCATAAAACAGTATTTCATCTTAAAACGATGGCGTCGTAGACTCAATGACATAACAGTCGGTAGAACTGCAACCCGAGACAGGCTTGTGAACCCATCAGAGGAAGGGTACGCACCCAGAGTCCCTTAGTCCCGGAACTCATTCTTAAAGGCTCAAGGCAGCCCTGGACTTTTGCCACATGCCGCATGCACCCTGTCCCAAGACCCTAACACACTGAAGAAGCCACATCTGTAAGCTCCGGCCCTGAGGTTGTCAGCCATCTGCTTCAGCCTGCCTGAAGCAACACAGTGTCTGCCCCAGCTAGGCAGGCTTCTCAACCTGGGAGAGTTTCAATAAAATGAACTATGGGCACAGCTAGTTAAACGTGGCAGAATATTTGCCTCATCTCCCTCCCCTCTAAAATGACGGGAACAGGATTTTAGAAAGGCAAAAACTCATGAAGACGAAGAGGGGGAATATTGGGGAGCTGGAGGAAGGTGGGCAGTGGGAGCTGCTTCAGCGGACCGCAGTCAGTGTCCAAGGGAGTGTGCCTGAAGGCGCGCCTGGAAAAGGCGATCCAGACTTCTCTCCCTACCAAGTGGCCAGGGGGTGAGCTCCAGCAGAGGCGCTCCGGGGGCTGGCCATCGGGACAGGGTCCTGTTCTGAAAGTGGAGGAGCAAGTGAGGTTCCGGCCCTTTCCACCTTTCCACCCCTGGCTCCAAGTCTGGCCCCGGCCATGTGCCACCTAGGGTTTTCAGAGAAGAGAGCTCCTTTCTGCAGCTGCTCCCAGCTCAAAAGAGAAGACTGACGTCCGGTGGGGGTGGGGAGGCTGCTCAGAGACTGGCCTGGCTAGATCCCAGGCCTCAAAGCTCACCAGGCAACAAGCCCCACCACTAAGCTCATTTCACCCTTAAGTGCAGCCCAGGATCAACAGACACCTGAGGAAGAGGGAAAAGGCAACAAAGGAAACGAGAAAGTGACTCAGAAGGAACAGAGACAATAAAGCAAGAAGAAAAGTTGAAATCACATCCTCAGAGATATTAGAGGATATTGCATGCAAGAACAAGAGGCTGTAAAGAAAGAACATTCAGCAAATGAGAGAGCTTACAAGTGAAAAAATATGAGGGAAACAAACAGTTCAATAGAAACACTGAAAGATAAAGTTGGAATCTTCCAGATGTCTAACAACAGAACCAGGTAGCTAGAAAACAGAAACGTCATCATAATCACATAGGTCGGTGCCCTCCAGTAAGTGGCCTGGCACCTCAGAGGCCTCCATAATTGGTGGGGATGGTGAAAGGGTGGGTAGGCTGAGACTCACCATGGGGTGGGTGGGGGGTTACAAGCACGCTCTGGGGGCAGCTTCCCATGACATTTGCTATGTAATATGGCATTCATAGTGCTGGTGGCTGGGCACTGTTCTCATCACACACATCACCTCATACAATCCTTACAACAACCCCTGGAGTGCAGACTATTACTGACCCTGGTTTTACAGGGGAAGAAGTGAAGGCATAGACCAACATGATTACATAAGAGGAAGCCTCGGAACAGCTCCGGAGCCTAGGCCCTTCACCACCACAATTGCACCACTCAAAAGTTAAGTCCAACCTCTAAATAATAAGAGTTCCAGAAAATAAAGAGAGGGGGGGAATCAACAACAAAGTAAAGAAAAAAATTTTAGAACCAAAAGGTTAAGATCTCTGGAGAATAGATGAAAGAGGCCTGCATCAAGACCTGTCGCTGAGAATTTCTAAAGCACTGGGGCACAGAGAAGAGAGACAGAGATCGTAGGCAAAGGGTCAGAATTCAGAACGGTACAGGATTTCTTGGGACTAGAAGAAAATGATGTGCAATCCTCAGTATCTTGGGAAGAAATCACTTTCAACTCAGCCAGACGTTTCTACCTAGTTACACTGATGGTAGATGTGAGAGTAGAGTAAGGACCAACAGGCAAGGCTTCCATCACTTCCCATGCATCCTTTCCCAGGAAACGTGAGGGATGTTCTTCCTCAAACAGGGCAAATAAGGGAAGAGGAAAGCAGTGCTCCCGGAGGCTGCTGACAGCCACACCAGAGGCCCAAGGACTAGCAGCCTGGGGTAGGTGGTGGGCCTGGTGGGGGCTGCAGGAAAACAGGAACTCAAGCAGTCAATTCTGCAGCAAGTCCCAAGTACTGAGGGGAGGCTCACACTTCGGCAGGAGAAGCTAAGGATGAACTGAGACATGTATAGACAATGAAACCAACCCCAAAGAAAACAAAAAGTTGTGCCAGAAAGAGATGTCACCTTAGGACACGTTGTTCTCTGCTGAGACCTGTGGGAATGAAGCCGTAAGAATACCCATCATACTGGGATGATGCTGGATCAGGGGCATGAGGCCAGTGACCCCCACCTACACCCCTGCCCCCAGAGGATGCCATCAGGGGACACCTACAGTGGAAAAACCAATAAAAAGCAGTAAAAGCATGTGTGTGCTTTTGCGAAACAGGATTTTAAATGGCTGAAGAAACAGCTAAGAAAGGATTAGGGTTGGAGGCTGCATTTATTATTTATTGTTGGCCTAAAAAAACCATTCCACTTCTAAAAGTGACATGTATATGACTTTGACAAGAGAAAAATTAAAATGGAAACCTCAACATAGTCTGGGTTAAATGAAGCAATGGCAGTACAGATAGCTGTGAGTTCGGTGTAATTGCTGGTACAATCTGTTAGGCATTCGACACTCACTGTTAAGGACGGTGCAGAATCAGACAGCTTAGCATCAGGATTTCCAGCCAGGGGTGTGTTATTTCAGATTTGTATTTTAGGTTGACAGGTGTGAGAATTTTAGTCATTTCATGAAGAGTATTGAAATGTTTAAGATAACTTGAGAGTCACTTTATCTGGACATTTATTTGCTAGGCCTGGCTAAGTTTGCTTTGTCTTGGGTTTTGGTTAGGACGATATGGTGTAGTAGGGGGGGCGATAATGCCCCCGAGATGTCCATGCCCCAACCCTGGGACCTGGGACTATCCCGTATGTGGCAAAAGGACTTTGAGACAGGGAGACTGTCCTGGATTACCCGGGTGGACTCAGCCTCACTACATGAAGTTTTTCTGGCTGCAGAAAACCAAACAGATGGTTCAGGCCAGACTGTACCCGCTGTCACTGACTTTGAAGATGGAGGACGGGGCCCTGGGGCCAAGCCGAGGAATGTGGCTGCAGCTAGAAGCTGGGAAGGGCCTTCAGTTTACAGCAGGCGAGGAAATGAATCTCTGCCGGTGCCTGCGCGACACCTGACACCGCAAGCCAACAACCATCCTGAAGGAGCAGGAGACGGATCCTCCCCTAGGACCTCCAGAAAGGAGGGCAGCCGGCTCAGCCGGACTTCTGACCTACAGAGCTGTAATAATTTTTGTTGTTTAAGCCACTAAGTGTGTGGTAAATTCTTATGGCAGCAACAGAGAACTGATACAGTGGTGTGCTTTCTCCGTTTGGCATTTGAAATGCTGAAAAAGAACCCTGAACGCACTAAATTTATACATGCAATTTAAAGCATTTAAGGGTGTTTAAATTTGAAAATGGAGGTGAGGTGGTCCAAGAGAACCAGGCCAGAGCAATGGGGGAGAAAGGGATCTGAGTGGGAGAGATGGGGAGCTGGACCCAGGGAGGGAGGTAATGGGGTGGTGAGCTTGAGAAGCAGGGAGGACGCCTGACCCGACCCCTTCAGGCCAGGGAATGCCGGACAAAAAAGAGCTCTTTGCAGGGGGCTGCAGGGGCCAGAAGTGCCTGGAGAGGGGGCAGCGGGTGCCGGCCCCAAAGAGGGGCTCCAGGCGGGTCTGCGCTGGATGCTGGGCGGGCATGGAAGAGCCACATGGTATTGGGAATGGGCTTCTTGGAGTGTCTGCTGCCTGCTTCTCCCGCCAGGTCATGGCCCTGCCAGGCGCCCAGCATGGTGCCTCATGCCAGCAGGTGCTTTCACTGGCTTGAGGTGGGGGTCCTTGTGTGGCTCTGTGGTACCGACCCGGGATGGGGCAGACATCTGTCCAGGGCTGACTCCCCCCACAACCATGGCTGCCCACAGGGAGTCCTCCCCCCTCACAGGGCTCAGTTCCCAGCCAGACAACCTGGGGATGGGGTGGGAAGCTGGCCAGGGAAAGGAGGATATGGGAAGGAATGGTGAGTTGTGGAAGCACGCTGAGTGGGGGGCTCCTGGTCCTAAGAACTGTGGGGCCTACTCACACCCCCCCAACCCCTGAAGGGCTCCCCTGTGGGCCCAGCCTCACGGCTCTCACCCCACCCCCAGCCCAGGGCCTCTCGATAGCTGTGCAAGACAGAGGTTCCTCACTAGTGGGTGTTTGGTCCTCAGCCCCCCGGCACGCAGGCAGAAGGCAGCCCCGGGTCCCCAACACTTGACCCCAAGCTGCCCACATGGGCGGCCAGGTGCGCAGTCAGGGCTGAGCTCCATGGTACTTGAGGAAGGTGCTCTCCAGGAAGGCGGCCAGCTTCGGCCGGTCATCCTGCAGGGCAGGAAGGAGGCATGGGGGGACGGAGGGGTGCGGCCCACCCTCCGCGCCCCCCCAGCCTGGCCTCGCACGGCCTACACACCTCGTGGACAAAGCCGTAGTGCACGAGCTCAGCGGCAAGGTCCTGGGCGCTGTCGGCTGCGGCAAGGGCGCGGGCAGGGGCATGGGGGGGCGAGGCATGAGGCCACGGTGTGGCCCTGGCCAGCCCCCACCCAGGGTCCCCACCCAGGGTCCCCCAGCATACTTGGGAGGAGGTCATAAGTGAGCTGCCGGTGCAGCCGGTCCTCCAGTACCAGAAGCAGAGTGAGCTGGGGAGGCAGGAGGGTAAGGTCAGCCCCGGTCCACCCCGCCCTGCCCCTCCCCCACCCTGTCCACACCAGCCTGGGGCCCTGCTCACATGCCAGCGCGCCTTGTCCTCACTTCTCTCCAGGTTACACTGCATCTGGATCACCTGGGGGTGGCAGGGGCCCAAGGTCACTCACAAAGGCTTACACTCAGCAACTGAGGACCAAGAGCAGATGTGCCTCAAAGGAGCCCAGTAAGGACTAGAAATGGGAAAAGTACCCGAGAGGAGCCTACAGAGCACTTCCCACTGCTAGCCACCTGGAGCATTAAGGAAACATTCCAGGAGGGTAGACACTGAGGCTGGGTACTGAAGGATGAATAGGAGCTTTCACAGGTGGAGAAGACACCTGAACAAAAAGGCAGCTGTGGGAAGCGGGAGCTCAGCAGGGATGTGGCAGAGCAGAAGCACAGGACACCAGCAGGACCAGGCCTCGGAGCACCTGGGGGTCGGGCTGAGGACCCTACGCTCTCTGTGGGCAGCTTTGGCCATCAGGACATGAATCCTGGCTGCAGGCGGGGGCTGGGGCAGTGTCCAGGTGGGGAATGGGGGTGGCCCAGATCAGGGCAGAGACTGGAGACACACCCAAGGCCAAAGCCAGAGCTTCTGGAGCCCAGCTGGTGAGGACAGGGAAAGGGAGAGCGCAGCCCCTGGCCAGGAGGGAGCCGTGCAGGAGGGAAGGATATCAGGAGACCTTGGAGGAGACGCCGGGACACAAATGTCAGGGAGTCGGCAAGGGAAGGGGGTGGGATCAGAGAGGGCTGGGGGCAGATGAGCCTCCTAGACAAAGGCTGCTTGGAGCAGGTGGGATTGGGGGTGGGGGGCAACCTGTATGGGGACTGGCAGCAGGGTCTGCAGGGGGCAAGAAGCCTCTGGGAAAGCAGGTATCCCAGCTTGTCCTAGCCCCCCACCCCACAGAGGGGTCTGCAGGACTTGCTCTCTGGCAGCCGGGGAAGAGCTGGGCTGGGTGAACTCAAAGCCCCTGAGAAGGGCACAGACAGGCCTGAGGGCCACCATGGTGCAGCGGGATTGGGGGCTCACCTTTCTGGTCTCCGAGTCAAACGGTTCTGGGGTTGGGGTCTTGGCCTTCTGGGCCTCCTCTGGGGGTGGGGCCAGCACACGGGGCAGCCCCAGGGGCCGAGCAGCAGCAAAGTTCATTAGCGGGTAGATCCCGTTTCTGGGGACACACCAGGGGTGCCTGGGGGTTCAGGCCTGACACTGCCTGTTCCCCAACCTCACACTAGCTCTTACCTGACATCCTCCAGGAATTTGTCCAGCTCCAAGCAGGAGACCTCTGAATACCTGGCACGGGCATGAGAAGCACAGGAGGGTGGCATCCAGCCTTCGCTGCCATTGGGCAGGACTGGGTGGGGGCTGGCCAGGTGGGGAGGGGAGGTCTCTGGGCGGCAGACTACTCACCGCCACTGCAGTGGGGGCCGGGAGGGCCGGGGGATCTCGGCCAGGACGGCGTGCAGGTCCATCGACTTGGTCTTCTCCTCCACCACGTTCTCAGGCATGAGGTCTGCAGGCCGCAGGAGCACTCAGGAGGTTGCACCCTGACCACAGGCCCCTCCCTCTTCCCCGACCCCAGCCCTTGGCCCCTCACACTGGTGCTGGATGAAGCAGTGAGCTGCCAGGAGCTTCAGTGAGTGGACCTCGAACAGCACACGGTGGAAGAGAAGGCTGTGGGCAGAGGGCCGGCGGGCAGGGTCACGGGCCAGGCAGCAGAGGATGAACTCCTGGGGGCAAGGAGACAGGAGGCTGCCGTGTGTGCATGTGTGCATGCGGTCTCTCTACTCTGGCCCTTCATTGTCAGCAGAGGAGGCCCCTGAAATCCCCAGACCCCAAGGTTCCAATCCCCAGGGAGCCTTCATGCAGGGATGTGCATAGAGAGAGGTGGTGTCCTGTTAGCACCCAGGTCAGGACCTGGTCCTACAAACAGCACTGTCAGGCCCTGGGCCCAGGACTTCCCACATTCTACCTCCTTCAACCCTCAAAAAAGTCCTGGGGGGTCGGCATTGTCATCCCAATTCACTCACAGATGGCGTGTGCACTGTGGCCCTGGGGCTGGGCAGAGTGCCAGCAGATCAGCCCAGGCCCCAGAGGTCATATGACCCAGCATGAACCCACCTACCACAGCCTGCCCCTCTTTCAGTTCTCAGCTCAGGCCCAGCTCGAGATGACCTTGATGGCTCCCTGCCCCCACCCCCATCCATGCCTGCACTGCCTCTCACATCTGTCTTGGGTCCACCTCCCCACCAGCCCCATCCAAGCCCCATCACTCCCCCCCCATCCCCAGTGGTCACGTGGTTAAGCCATATAGTCCCCGGATTCTGGCCAGAGAGGTTGTGGATGCAACTTCCATCCCATACTCCCTTTGCCCACCCCCTGCCCATCATGCCCCCCAACAAACTCAGGCCACATCACATCTAGCCTATCCCAGGGGGCTTAAAGGCAGGGCAGTGGAGTCAGGCAGACCTGGGTACAAACACCAGCTCTACACTTACTCTAAAGCCTTGGGCAAAGTACTTAGCCTCTCTGAGCCTCAGTCTCTTTATCTGTAAAACAGGCATAACAACAGTGCCCACACGCAGACTCTGCCTCTGGTCTCCCTGACTTTAGGATGAGCCCTTGGAGCCTTCAGGCCTGGAGTGCAGCGCACTCCAGGTGAGGCCCTCCTTGTAGATGGGCCTTTGTGCAGCTGGCTGGCACCTGTCAGCGGCACTGACCCACTGCACCCCCAGGCCTGTCCAAAGGGCCTTACCAGCCCTACGCGGAGCATGGAGAACCAGCTGGAAGGGGTAGGGCAAGCAGCTTACCCGCATGTTGGGGTCACTCAGCGAGTGCCTGGCACGAGCAATGGCCTCCTTGGTCACCCGGGTATCCCCATTGGCCTGGATCTCCAGCACAGCCATCTGGGGGCAGGGCCAGGTCAGGCAGAGGGAAGGGACAACACAGGTGAGATGGGGGTGGGGGGGGGTAGCTGCCAGGCCAGGAGGCCATGGGGCTAGTACCTCCAGCGCACACATCCCAAAGGAGAAGATGTCCACAGCAGTGCCATCAGCAACTTCTGAAAGAGGGAGAGCAAGTCAGGGGGAGGGGGGACGGGCTCAGCGCTCGGGGGAGAGGGGCCCTCTGGGACTCACCGCCGTACTCTGGTGGAAAGAAGTGCAGGTTCCGCGGTTCCTCCCGTTCGGCGCGGATGGGACTTCGGAGGTCCACCGGGAGCGCTACGGAAAGCGCGGGGCATGAGCCGACCGACCCTCTCCACCGCCCTCCATCCCCCAGACCCCCACGCACCATTGGAGAAGATACGGTGCCACACTGCACGGCCACAGGGGAGAAAGAGCGGGCGTCAACGCGATGGGGCGCTGGGTGTCTGTCCTCGGCTCCCGCAGGTACCCAGCCCCGCCCCCTACCGAGCCCCACCCGCCCGCACCGGAGCCAATCTTGATGAGGCCGTTGTGCTGTATGAAGATGGTGTCACTGGTCAGGTTCCCATGGATGATGGGGGGGTTGCAGGCGTGCAGAAAGCTGCAGGCGATGGGAGGAAAGAGCAGGCGGAACCGGGTCAGGGGGCGCGGGGGCGTGGCCGGGCGGGGGCGGGCAAGCCCAGGCTCTCACCTGAGCGCGGACAGGATCTGCGTGCACCATCGCTTCCAGGCCTGGTGTAGGACGCACTCCGTCGGACCGGCGGGGAGAGGTGGCTGGGCCTGCGGAGCCCCACCGCGCCTCCGCCCCGGCCCAACCCCGAAGACGCGCGGCGCCCCGCCCCGCCCCATCTCCAACGCGGATGGTGCCCCATCCTGTCCAGTCCTTGACCCCGCCCCAGCCCACTCCCCATACCCGGGCGTTCATGGCCTTGTGGTTCTTCTTGGTCTTTTTGAGGAACTGCTTGAGGCTGCCCGACGACACGTACTCTGTGATGAAGACGACCTGCGGGGCGGGCGGGCTCGCGGGCTCCGCCAACTGCGGGTGGGTGCCCACGGCCGCCCCGCCCACTGATGCCGCGCCCGCCCCTGCTCTGCCTGTGGCTCACCCGCGCGCGGGCCTCGGAGGCATCCAGCCAGTACTTGTGCAGCTTGACGATGTTGGGGTGGTCGAGCAGTGCCAGCTGCTCAAACATGGTCTGGATCTTCTCCTGGGAAGGGGCGGGTGCGGTCACCGTGCGGTCATAGGAGGTGGGGTGGGAGAGATGTGGCAGGCCTCACCTCGTGGGCAGAGAAGGCCTTCTTGTCGCTGAAGTGCAACTCGTTCCACACCACCTCCACGCCCTCCTCCGTGTCCATGGCCAGGAAGGTGCTCTGGACCCCCGGCATGTTCCCCTGGTTCACCTGGCGATGGGTGTATGTGTGTGTGGGTGGGGGGGGGGAGCGGGACATGAATGTGCTGTATGTATCAGGAGAGAAATGGGGGCTTGCTCTCTGCCCACACCCATCCCACCGCCCAAGCGGGGCAAGCAGGCTCTGGCCCACTCTCGGGGGAAGCTGAGGGCACCCAGCGGCTGGGCTGAGGGGAATTAGAGCAGCTTTCAGAGGTTGAGGATGGTTGCCAGGGGGCTAGTGGCTTGATCCCAGAGGCACAGGAAAGTGGTCCTGGGAGGGGGCTGGCCCTTAGGGAATCAGGGGTTCCTCACCAGGGCGTGGGGGCCAGGCAAAAGGGGTCCAAGAAGGGG